ACACTATGTACAATGGAAAGAGCCTCCCCCCAATTTCCATCCCCTTCCCTCCCCCCCCGGCAGAAATTCCAGGTTGCTTTTGTTTGGAAAAAATCACAGTATTTTATACACGGAAGGTTTATTCCTATTATTTCCCCATTGTATTGGCAAATGCAACAGTCTGACTTGGGAACTTCTTAATATATATATATATTTATATTTATAGATATAAAAACACACGGGGGGGGGTAGGGTTCACTCAGCAGGTGTGTTTGGACAGGAACCCCTTGAGACACCAGACAGTTTCAACAGCATTTCACTGGAAAAGATACAAATAATACTATTGGGGCGGGGTTTTGTGGGGTGTTTTGTGGTTTTTTTTGCAAAGTGATCCTTTTTTATCTTTATCTTTCCACTCCCCCCAGCCCCCACCCTCGCCCCGTTAAACCATTAACACCCCTTTACATGAAACCAGCACGAATAAAGTCTCAAATAAAATCCAATTACTTGCTCTGAAAACACCGGGGACCTGCTCCCCCTTTGGGTTGGCTTTGAAATCAGCTGGATGCGCGCGACGTTACACAAATGGTCAATTTTAAGGGGAAAAGGGGGAGAAAAAATCCCTCTGGAAGCTCAGCTCCGAGGTGATGCCTCCCGGGAAGCAAAAGGCAGGAGGTGGGGGAATAACTGCTCTGGTTCTCAAAGGGGGGGAATAAAAAAACAGCTTTTGCCTTGTCCAGGTCCTGGCCAGATCTCACCCCGTCCCACTTCACCCCGTCCCTTCCCCTCCTGTTCCCTTCTCCCTCACCCCGGGGAGGAAAGGAACCAAACCTGGATTTCTCTCCACTAGTTGGTCCCTAATTTTTAACAGTTGCATCCAGATGTGGGTTTTTGTTTTGTTTTGTTTTGTTTTTTTAAATTAAGGCCATTTTAAATGTCTACTTACAAGTCTAATAAACAAGATCTCTTATATACACATAAGTTGTTGGTTGTTTTTTAACAAGATAAATCAGAAGTTGGCATTTATCAACAACTCCTGGGGAAAGTCTCCCGTGAGGGATCTCACCTCCTGCTCGGATGCTTCAGAATGAAGTGACACTGTTTTTTTTTTAAAAAAAACAACCCAAAACCAACCCAACAAACAGATCCCAACTCTCACAACCCAAGAACTGACACCACAGGAGGCTCCTGCCAAGGAGAGAGAGAGACACGGGCAGAAACCCCAGCGAGGAATGACAGAAACAAGAGGTTTTGGCTCAAAAGCCTCTTCTGCTGCTTCAAAAGCAAAGGGCTGGAGTCACCTGGGCCCAAAAGAATCCTGTTCTTTAAGGGTTTCCTCCCGATTTTCAGGGTTTCCTCCCAATTTTCAGGGTTTCCCCTCCTGTCCAAAACTACCTTTTTTTTTCTTCACTTTCCCTCCTTAAATGGAAAAAGCATCACCCATCTGAAAGGAGCAGACACCAGGAGCTCACACGTGCCACGGGGCTGGAATCCCAACACAACACCCTCCAGACAAAGATGAGGGAAAACCTTTCCGTGGGGTGGGGAGGAACAAAAACAGATTAAAAAAAAAAGAAAAAAAAGGAACGAGAGACGGGGAAAGCTCAGAGATCCAGAGATCCAAAGGGAAAGAAAACATTTTTAGTGCAAACGGTCCAACTTAATGGCACAAACGTTGAGCAAACACACACCAAGATTAGAGAGATCCCAACATCCATCCTGCCCAGCAGCCTTTGGGTGAATCTCATTGTCCCCCCCCCATTTCTGGAAGCACACAAACCAGTATAACTCATCCAGAGCATCCCAGCTCCTCTGCTGACAGGTATCCCCCCCCCTTGCCAAAAACAGCACCCACAAAAACACCCTTTCTCCAGGGGAAGGGGAGAAGTGCTCAGGGGTGGTTTTTTCTGCTTGAAAATCCTGATAACTGAGAAAAAAGGACACGTTTTTGGATAAAAAGCAACCCCAGCTGCTGCAGAGCGAGGCTGAAATGGGGGGGGGGTGTCAACAAACACCACCCCTCTGGAAAGGAAAAGTAAAGTGGGTCTTTTCTTGAGGCTGTGTTTAATAAAAATAGCTGTGGATGTTCCAGCCCTGCCGCCTGGAAAAGCCTTCCTCCCGTGGCAACTCCTCCCTCTGGCTGCGGGGTGTGAGGGGAAACCTAATTTGTAACTCGTTAATAAGACTTAAAATAATGTTAATTGGTAACTCGTGCTGAAGAGAAGGGCCCTGGACTCACAGGATCTGGGAGGGTGCGGATTTTAGTGCCACGAAGACAACGATTAACAGCTCCCCCGGCAGTTAGAGAAGCCTGTTGGGCTCCTGATAAATCTTCATCAAAAATTTTAAAGAATTATCAAGAATTTATTTTATTTTTTCAATTTCAGTGGGAGCCCCGAGTGCAGAGATTGGGGAATCATCAGCATTTCAGCCGTGACACTGAGGTGACACCCCCCAAACGTGAGTCACTGGGTGCCTGGGGGTTTGGGGGGGATTTTTGGTTTTCAATCTACCCTTGATAAAGTTTTGTAATAAACAAACAGAAATAGTCTGTTATAGATTTAACAGAACCTCCCCTGCTGGAGGACACGGGACTATTCGCTGCAGAGCAAGCTTTTTTTTTTTCCCCAGGGTGAAAGAAGGAATATCTAAGTTCCTGCCACCCTATTTTTATTTATTTTTTTTGAGTATATAAAAGGAAAACATTTAGACTCGCCTCAGGCTTCCTTAATTCTGCTCAACATCTGTTTAAAATTCCAGTTAGTTAAAAATACCTATATATATAATATATATAATATATTTCTGGAATAAAAACACAAAAAAGATGTACTGTACAAGTATTACGTAGAGTGCTTCAATTGGCTGTATGTAGTTTAGCTACTTTCCTAATATCCAAATACTTAAATAAAAAAAAAAAAACAACAACAAAAACCCCCAAAAAAAAGATCATAAATAATGGTAACAGAATAAGTAATGAATAAGAATAAAAAAAATTAAAAAATAGTCATCACGGTTTGAGCCAGGCATTGCTAGAGAAATGCCCTTCCTGTTGCCCAGGAATCTCTCACAAAGTGAAATCAGGAACACGCTCTGCAAGTTCGTCTCCAAGAGTCTTTTAGCTGCTTTCAAATGCTCTGATCCTTCCTCCGTGCTAATCAAGTAATGAATTCTAGTACTTTTTTGTGTGCTCAGAAATGCTATATATATATATGTATACATATATATAAATATATATATTACATATATATTTTTTT